CCCCAAAACCCCAAAACCCCGACAGTCATAAGTAATATATTAAGAGTAAAAATATTTAATAAATTAGTTCATATCTTAGGATATTCCTCAGTTAAATTTACTTTCCATTAATTATAGCATTGCCTTCAATTATAGGTCTTCAATATTAATTTGATTTATGCCTCTCTTTCTGAAAAGATTAGCTCCTGGAATACAATTTTCGAAAAAGGGAAAAGAATCAAGATCACTTATAAGTTCTGAAGGAGATTTTGGAGCTCCTCCTCCTGTTCTAGGATTCTGTCTAGATTTATTATCATTTTATTCACTCAAAGTATTTTAATCCTTGTCCAATCTAATGCTTGACTCATTAAGACTTTCTCTTACAGAAATTTCAAAGTTAATTTTACCATTGTGCATTATTGGCTAAGAAATTTACTAAAAATGCTACAATGGATCCTAGTGTACTCTTTTGAACTCATCGAAATCAGGGTGTTCGAATAAATTCTCAAATTGATTAGTTTACTTAGGTCTCTATTTTATGTTTGATGTCAATATTGATCTTTTAGGTTTCAATAATCCGAGTGTTTGACTTCTTGGCAATAAATCTTCTTCCATCATGTTTTGGTCTTCCTGTAAAAGAAATTAATTTAAAATTACAATAGTTTTTATATTACCTTAGAAGAAGATTCAGCATTATTTTGATAATCTATTCTAGCCTTTAAATTACTTGATGGGTTTGCAGGCGGCTTGTTGGGACGATTCGCTACTTATTGAGTTTAAGGTTTCTTGGTAAAAATTGGATGGCATTCCTAAATTTAATTGAACTTCTAATTATTATGATGTTCCTTTTCTTGATTTATCATGAAGCGCTAAACCTACTATTTTATGTCATCATTATGAATGCTACTTATCTCTTGGCTGAATTTCTTATTTCCACTTTCAACTAATAACGTAAATCAAAATTTATGTAATTACATTTATTGCTTCTAGCCTTAGAAGGTTCTCTCTCTTATTTCTCATTTAAAACAGATATCTAATTGCTCTTGCTTTGAATGAGTGGTTTAGTAAATATTTTAGAGCTTTTTTTCATGTCTATAATAGGTCCTTAATGCTCTATTGACTCTGTTAAGCTCTCCAAATTGCTTTGAACCATATATTGGATAGAGTTGGCATTATTTGTAGTTCCTGCAGCCCCCTTTTTATACCCGTTTAGCATGCTTTGCACATTTTAATTTTGATTAGAATGTTTTAGATATAGAGTATTCTCTCTTGAGCCTATCTCTGAACCTCCTTAGCCTTGCTCCTATTATTCAATCATAATGCTTTTAACTTATGCTAGATTTTGATTATTCTAAATGTATTAGAGATCTTAGGTTCTATCATCAGCTGGTGTTTAAGACTGTCTAATAATCTTTCTATTAGTTCTCTTCAATGAAAATTTGCTTTCAAATTGCTAGGGTTTTCTTCATTTTTCTTAAATAATAGACAGGTTGCCTTATCTATCCTTAGATTATGTTGTCCTAAAATTTTAGGAACTCTATCTAGTATGATGGCTGAAATACGTATCTTGATTGCAATGGCTGCTTGGGTCTTTGTTGTAAGGCCCATTAAGTAGTATCTCTTGAATATTTCGCTTTTATGTTGAATTAGCTCTGCTATTTGGCTTCTTTAATGTATTTTAGCCTCCTTACTTTTTAGATTTTTTCTTGATTCCAGAGTTAGCAGCAATGCATGGCTTTGCTCCGTAAATAGTTTCAAATATTTCTTTACATCCTTGCATCGCCATTGTCTAAGTTTGATGCTTTTACATGATCTTCTGAGACTTATTCTACTTCTAGCTCTATAATATATAGTTTTAACTTTTCTAATTCAGTACTGCATTATATCCATTGGAGGTAGCAGATGTAGTTTAGTTTGAATTAGCAGTTTAACTAGTATTGCTAATAGTCCTAATTCGAAGTCCCTAGTTATTGTTGTTAGTATTATTTGAGGTGGTGTTGTTGCTAGTACATTTAGGTCCTTTAGTATAGTAGCTTGTCTGGGAACTAGCTCCTTCACTTCTCTACGCTTCCATTAGATTATCATTTCTTTTATGTATTGTAGGGTCTATGCTCATCAAAGATGATAAATGCTTATATTGTTTTTAGACTGTTAATGATTAAATATGAGCTCCATTGTTATTTTTAGGATTATCAATAGTTTTTAGCAATGAGTTATTAGAATATAAATAGTACTCGTTATCTACTCTCTTCTCAACTATACTCTATGAATTGGTTTGATCTCCATCTTTTTATTTCAGGACTCTTAATATTCTTTCGAGTGAGGATGTTCGAAGATTAGATTTTTTATCTTTTTAGTTATTCATCAATTGTATGTTGATATGAACCTTTAATACTCCTTCAAAAGTTTCAATTATATTTTTAATCTCAAAAATATTCAAATTATTTTAATTGCCTAAGTGCTTTTAATTTTTTAAAATGGAACTATTAAGAGTAGTAGAGGCATTTGAAGCCTCTCCCGAGAATGATGAAGCAAGAGGTATATTACCCAGAAAAAGTTAACATTATCATAGATTTGCTTACCTACATAAACGTTGAAAAAACTAATTAACTTAAAGAATTGCCGAAATACAAAAACTTTGCAAAGTGGCTAAAAGATAATGGAGTGATATATCCAGCAGTTGATTACCCAGTAGCATTTGGAAAGCATGGGTATTTGATAGGGATGGCAGCCAAATAGGATATCCCACCTTAGAAGGCATTCCTATTCGTGCCTTAGAAACTCATGATTAATGAAGTTGTAGTAAGGAATTCAAAGATTTCACATATAATCAATAAGCATCCAAAAATTTTCAAGCATCATTAAGATGCTGAGTACTTGATATTGATCGTGTTTGTCTGGCACGAGCTTTTAAAAGGTGAGGAATCGTTCTGGTATCACTATTTCCAAATTATCAACTAGAGTGATCTGCCAATGCTTTGGACTGAAGAAGAAATTGCAGAATTATAGGACTAAGTTATGCAAAAGGACATTTTGGAATACAGAGCAGAATATGATAATGAGATGGAATTAGTATTTTCTACTTTTATAAAGGAGGGATACCAAGAATTTTATCCTGGACTAGGTGATCATGAATAAGAGGAACATATTATAGCATGCTATCACAAAGCCTATCTATCAGTGGTAACTAGGTGTTTTGGCTGGGGACTGCCTTAGACCAGCATGATACCTTTTGCAGACTGCATCAATCATCATAATGTTGACTCGACTTATGAGCTAATTCATGAGGAATATCACTAGGACATATTAAATGATGAGAGTTCAAGAATGGGACCAATTGAATACTATACATCATCGAAGATTGAAGGAGATTATACTGATTTTTTTCAAACTTAAAGTTCTTAGGATTCAAATTAAAGTAGCGATTAAAATTAAATAGAAGAGCAAATATCTGAGGAAAGGAAGTATCAGTCCTTGATAAGAAGATAAGGCTGGCCTAAGAGAACTTAAAATCATATGGATAAAATGTTTCGCAGAAAACAAACCTTTTAGCTAGCTCTCAGTGAGTTCAAGGAAAGTAAGACAAAAGAGATATGGGATGTGGAATATATAACTACATCAGACGAGGAGGATAATGATACAGAGGAGGAGGAAGAGGAGTCATCATCAGAGTCAGAAACAGATCAAACTCAGATATCTGATATTAAAAGCTAGCATAGTGCAGTTGGATAAGGTCATTCTAAAAACCTTCAAAAGCCCAAGAAGAAGCAGGGGCAACCAAAAGATGTAGTTTACTAGTTGATTGATCAGAACTAGTCTTTATCAAAGAGAGATCTATAGGCAAGATTACTAAAACTAAAATGGTGGAAGGAATCACATAAGAAGTTTAATTAGGACAATGAATTGTATGATGTTGATGAAGATTTCTCATGGTGGTCTTATTATGATGAGAAAGTTTACTATGCAATGGGAGCCAAATTTAAGACATATTATCAAAAAGGAGATTAGTTATTTAATTGCTATGGACTCAGGACAAATAGATTCCTATTGATCAATTATGGCTTTTGCCTCAGAAATAACAAATACAATTCGTTAGGGTTTAAAGTCTTTATAAATTACAAGCCCCCGGTTGAGCATGAGACTCCGAAAAATAAGAAGGTCAATCCAGAAACTCATAACTCAGATGATGATAGTGATAATTCTGAAGAAGAAGAAGAGATTGAAGAGAAGGCAACAAGTAGGCATCAAAAGATAATCAGACTAAAGAATGACAAGCTTTGCGAAGAACTTTTGTAATATCTTAGATCTAATATGATATACACTGAGTAATTCAGAGATAGTGAGCATCTTTTAGCTTCAAGTCCTATTGATGCTATATTTGAGACTCATATTATAACAGTTGCTATAAGTTTGCTTGCAAACATGCTTCAAAATAAGTATCCAACAAGCATACAACACGACAAGAAACTGCTAGAAAAAGTAGATGATAACTATAGGTTAAAAATAGCACTAATACATAGGATAAATCAAAAGGAGATTATAGATAACCAGATTAAATTACTTACGATATTGAATCGAATAGTGAACAGAGTCAATTAAGGTATGGATTTAAAGACTGCCTATTGCTTAAAGGTTGAAGATGCTGGAGAAAGGACTGATGCTGATATTGTTAGGAATAGAGTCAAGCTAAGAAAGTATTTAAGAGAATTCAGCCATAATCAATCAGTTTTGAAGTAATAAAAGAAGTAAAAATTGCTCGATGAAGAATAGGAATAACTTTAAAAGCAAGCATTTGAGTCTTAAAAGTAATAAGAGTGATGGGTTTAATTAAATTTAAAGTAATTTATGCAATCAACTCTATTCTATGTTCTATCTTTTAGGAGGGGTTTTGGGGTTTTGGGGTTTTGGGG